GATGGAAGAACTGAAAACACTGTTCCGGGAGTATTTTCCAATTTAAATAGTATGATTTTGAACAAAGAAATCACCACATTTTCCATAGTTAATATTTCTTTTTTTACAATAATAATCAAGAACAATTATGTATTGATCGATTTCATCTTTGGTTATTCCATATATTTTATATTCTTCATTTATCATTTCATTAAGCTTACAAGATACAACCGTCGTTTAGTAATCTTATATTATTCAGTGCAGTAAATCAATAACATAGTGAACAATCAACTTACTTTCTTTATAACATCCGAAGTGTTTATTTGAGAATTGCATAATTTTATAAGATCGACGCATGATTCGTTGCGTGACCTTGTATAACTTCCACTTCCAGATACATATTCAATTGTTCGTATACCATTCTTCCAAGTTGCCATAAATAAATCTAATTCCTCTTCAATTTCTTGTAAATTATTTCCATCCATTGGAACCCATTTAATCTTTCCAGGTTTTGTTAAATTATCGTATGGAATCCATTCAATAACCTCATCATATTCCTTGGCTTTATGTTGAAGATTTTTGATTTCATCATCAATACCTTTATCACCATTTGTCCATCCTTGAGTTTCTTTCTCAGGATCACAATCTATGCACCAAACTCGGGAAGTGTTGTATTGCCTACATGTTTTACATTTTCCGTATTTTCCGTAAATACTATCCCTTTTATGATAAATAATATGTATTAGACTTTGTATTAGTTATTAGTTTTTTAAACTTTTGAAAATTTAAAAGAACCAAATGTATTAGCAGCGATACTAGTATGTAAATGATTAAAAGCGCCTTATTTTTAATGGCGAATTGCTACCAACACGATTTTGTAAAAAATTTAAATCGACTTACTCCCTATTAAATATACATAATTGATTAACGCTAAAGTAACATTTTAATGAAATGTTGATTTTGCAATGAAAGTTTATACTCACAAGCTAGAATTTTAATATTCATATAATTGATTAGAGGAAATAATTATTAAATACTAAATTTATAAACCGAACTTTAATACTTACTCCCTTTAATGTGTGTATAATTGATTATGGTAAAGTTAGAATGTAGCATTTAGGTTCTAATAAATGAATGGTATAAAATTTTATGCTAACCTCCTAATGATTATTTGATTATGACAGAATTAATTTAGTGAAAAATGCTGATTTTAAAAAACAAAGCAAATAAATTTATACTCACTTAAAAATACGCAATATTACTTTTTTGTAGATACATCTAATTATTATCATGAAAATCTTAAGGCAAGAAGTGCCTAATAAGAGAAATGGCACTAAATGATATTTCACGATGGAGTTATAGTAAAAGACCTTAAGGTGTTTAAATAGAAGAGAAAATTAATTAATAAAAACTAAAAAAAATTTACACATATATATAAAAATTGGTTCTCACTTGAATAACGATCTGTGGAATATTTCTAAGAAAAATGTCAAAGAACGCTCCATATATGATCGCGAACCTAAATATCTGCTTAAATATATTAATTTGTTCAATCATATTTTTAATTTGTTTGATTTCATCAGATTCATCAAGTAATTCAGCAGATTCGCCAGGTTCATCAGATTTAGGCAGCATGTCTTTCAATATATTGATTTGTTTGATTTTATCAGATTCATTAGATTCATCAGATTTAGGCACTTCTTCTAAAATCTTTAAGTAATCATCAATTTCTTTTTCAGTCACATCTTTTATAATTGTCAGATACTCATAATCAATGGTTACTTTTTTAAATATAGGCGCATTTTTCAAAATTGCCAGATACTCATAATCAGTTACTGCTAATATAGTGAATATAGCCACTAAACCTTGATTACGAACAGCCCAATCTCTAAAAATGATATTCTTTCTTCCATTGTAAAAAGTATAAGTAACTATACATAAGTTTGTGAGTAGCGAAACGCTAAAAAAGAATACACTTTACATGTTTTTGTTTTGGCAAGAATTAAAAATAAGTTACCAATAAATTTAATACTAGATTAATCATATCTAATAAAAATACAAATACCTTGGTAAATTAAGCTCCGATTTGTCATTAGAATTGTAAATAATAAAGAGAAATGAAAGAATAAAATTAGGAATGATCAATACAAGTCTTAATATTGCAGA